CTGAGACTCAAAGCATGTAACTGGCATGTGTCAAAGCTGCTGCCTGTTTCCTTTAGCTGTGTCTGTCATGAGGGAACAGACCTGTACAATCTGATAAAAAAAGAAAAAACTGCCTGCAACAATTATGCAAGTCATGACATATTTTTTTTTTGAAAACTGGGTGTCTCAGATGTTGCATAATCCTGGATAGCTTGCATCATAATGACTGTGTTTAAACAGGGAAAGAGCTGACTGGACTACTTTCTTATAGTAGCCCAGAAAAGGCTTTTTTGTTGTTGTCATTGTTTGCGTGTGTCCATACTGAGGTGGTTAGAGCTAAGATTTCTTTCTCACAAGCTAAATCCTTCTCATTTACCCCCTTTGTTCCGCTTTATGCTACATCAGCTCCAAGTGTTTGCACTCTTGAGTCCTTCAAGTTTTAATTACCAGGCGAGGCTTTGCTTTACAGAACAGATCTTTCATTGCAAAACAATAGACAGGCTGGTTTTTACTGAGCGGTTCATAAAAATGTAACTGGAGTTTATTTTCAAATGCTGCTTTTAGTCCTGACATGAAGAGCCACCGAAGGTATTTTTGTGCTAAATAAGTCTGGACAAACCACTGTCTTTATGTGCAATAAGTGTTTATTTGTTCCTCTTTATCTCTTGCAGGTTTTTCCCCCATTATGGACAGTAGTCTAGACAATCTTGTAACGACTGTAAGTGGTCATATATGCTGTCTTAACACTATCTCTTCCTGTTTGTCTAATATTTGTACTTTTTTTTTTTAATGTATTCCTGTTTTTATTTTTAATTTTGAAGGAGTTTATTAGCATTTGTGTTCAAGATCCAAGGCTCCATAAAGAGGACTTCTGGCACACGTACATCGACTATGAGATCTATGTACATGTGAGTTCCACTTGAAGTTTTCGATGTCGTTTTGTCTCGAAGGATTCTAATTATTAGATTTCTGTCTTCGCAGACCAACAGCATGTGTTTTCGAAAGAAGACTTCCTGTGTGAGGCGGAGTTACAGTGAGTTTGTCTGGCTGCGTAATTGTCTGGAACAGAACGCTCTGATCATGTAAGCTCATCATTGTCATTTATCGCTTATTTGGTACCGTAAACGGAGCGTCTCATGATTTTCACTGTTGCCAGAGATTTGCCCAGGTTGCCCCCCTGGAACCCCTTCTTCAGCCTGAAGAACCCAGAGCAAGTCAACCAGAGGATGAAGGGTCTGCAGGAGTTTTTAGAAATGTGAGTTGCTCTGCAGTCCATTTCTAGTGTTGCCACCTAGTGGTGCCTTTACACACTCCTGAACTTCATAACCCAAAACTGTTTAATATTTCATCTGGTGGAAGTAAGACTAAAGTGAGACCCTGTTGTTTTAGCTATTTTTAAATGTGTAAGGTCACTGATCTAAAAATATCCTTTCTTCTCTAGTGTTCTTCACACACCCTTCTTGTTATCCGACAGTCGGCTCCATCTGTTCCTCCAGTCAGACTTGAGTATCACAAAAATTGAAAAGTGTGCTCGTGGTAAGACCAGGTACACAGTGGCTGAAGCCATACAGCGTCCCAGCAGTGGTTATGTCAGTAGATTAGAGGACAAAGCTTCTTTTGACTCTGACTGTGAAAGGTAGGATATTGGAGAGTGATCTGGCTTTTAACATTTTAAACATTTTAATGTCTGTTTAAAACTGAGATGACCCTCTCATCTCTTTTTCTCTCACATCAGCACTTCATCGTCGGGTTTGGGATTAAGTCTCGACACTTCAGCGCGAGGAGACCACCTCCTCTTCTTCCCGTCCTCTGACAAAGATCCAGAGCTGTGCAGCTGTCTTTCAGAGTCTTCCAGTCCACACACCGAACGTTAATATCAGGAAACAGTACTACCTCTTCCTGTATGTACTTCCCTGTGGATGTAGGTCATCCATGTATTAACCTGTCTGTGATACTCCACTGAGCTCTTATTAACCTCCCAAAGAGCAAAAAGCTTTCTTTTACTCTTGTTAAGTTCCTTATGCCTGTTGGACATTTTGTTTTAAAAATTTGCCTCACCTTTCATCATTCGGAGTAATTTAGTGTGTACTTGAAAAAAAATCTTTTCATGTTTTAAAAAATGTACAGTAAACCCAGATTTATAGTGGTGAAGTCTTAAATATTTCCTATGTATATTTTTATTACTACACTAAAGCTGTACTGATGTTAGCAAGGGATATTTTGAATTGTTGCTTTTTTTTTTGTTTTTTAGAAAAATATTTGAGAATACTTTTAGGATTGATTAATGAAAGAATAAATTGTCTTTTTGAAGAAAATAGGCTTGCCTCTTACATATTCCATGTGTTGTTAAATTTGGGAACGTACCTTCATATACTTTATGTATTCTGACATTTGAATCCAGTTCAGTAGTCTTGTACTGTTCTAAATTTCCAGTAGAGGGAGTGTAGACATCATAGCACCCCGAACCTACAGTCAGTACTGAAGTGGGATGAAGGTACACAACGCTAATTAAAGATGATTTGGACCTTTTGCACTGTAGTGAATGTAAACACAATATATGAAACGCTGCTCTCTGGTCATTTTTGGTGCCAAGCTCTTGTAAAATTCTGCAGTTTTATTATTCGTACAGTTGAGTCAGGCTGCATTCGGCTTAAAAAATGTGTTATTTTGTTAGTAAAGCATCAAGTCCCCCCCCCTTAGTGTCTGAACAAGCATCCATGCAGTTAAATGGCACTGGGTTTAACAGTTCGCTTGTATACACTCATAGATACCACAGTTGTTCAAGAGCCTCTTGGGACAGGAAAACAGGATACCATTAAACCTTACACACCGCTTACTAAAGCGAGCAAGCGGAAGCAAGTGCTGACCTTTTCATGATGTTAAATTCACTATTTGTGGAAGCTCTTTTAGAAATCTTACAGAAGGAAGATGATGTATCGCACCGAACGTCGGCACGTGTTGAATTTTGGGCCTCTTCATCGCTACTGGCACGAAGAAGAGATTCAGTTCCTGTCACTTTTCAACCCTGTGTCACCGCTCTCCCAGGTGAGATGGTCTAATTAAAGGTAGACAGCAAATTAATTTAACTATTAAACTGCTCATGGGAATCACCTGAAAGGAACAAGACAGCTTCAAACTGTGTGTGTGTGTGTGTGTGTGTTACAGGACTGTAGGTGGGTGGGTGTGCTCTTGGCTATCCAGGAGTGCTGGACAGGCCTGTAAATTGAAAGCTGATGAAAGAAGCAAAGGCTCATTAAAGGAGACAGCAGCTGCCCCCTCCTCCTCATCCGCCACTCCACCACCAGCCGCCGGACTGACGAGCGGCTAAACCTGGCCCGTCCTGCGTCTCCGTCCTCTTCTCTCCTTCCCCTGGATGGTGCTGTCTCCCTGTGCGCACAAGCCATAATTAAGCTGTCAGTGACTTCACACAGCAGCCACTGAGCTGTTTTCATACAGCAAACACAGACCCAGACACACAGTGGCGTGTCTGAAAACACACTGACAGATGTGCACACACACACACACACACATATATATTTATATACACTGGTGGGAAAGTTGTGGATGAATGAGCATTTTCTCCTTTTCCTCATCCTCGTGTCATTTTCCGAGTCCCATTGGTTTGTGGTTGGAGCTCTCCATCTCTGTTTGCTGTTAAGGTTGACCTTATCAACGTACCCCATGACAGGCATACAGCATGACACACACACACACACACATACACTGTTTGGTTCAGAGCCGGTCAATTTTCTGACAAAAATGAAATGCAACTGCGAGCGGTGGCATCTTGTGGCGTTTTTTTTTTTTTTCTTTTTTCTGTGTGTGTGTGTGTGTACATGCACGCATCTGCCTTTTTGTAAGGGGAAAACATCTAGCATTTGGATATTGAGTATTCACGGTACATGTCTATTTCAGCTTGGTAATTTATAACTCAATTTCCAGAGTGCATCGATGCGCTTCATACCTCCAAAACACCAAACAAAGCCCAAACCCAATTGTATTTCAAAGCAATTAGGGTGTCCACTGGGTTGTGAACGGCCCACGTTGCAATGGCTCTGGGCCCGTGTGATATTTTTAATTGTTAATTTTCTGTCACATTAGTCAACTTCACTGCCTTTGGACAGGTGACCAAGCTCCTGTAGGCAACGCATAAAACGACACGGGATATATTCTCAGCTTTTTGATGCGACGTAGTGGACGGTGCTTTTATGTGCAGGGGGGAAAGGTTTCCGCTGTGTGGGATGAGTTAAATGACAAGAAGGTATATCATATTTACAGCTGCTTTATGGGAAGGAGTCTTTCTAATGCTTTTCAATATACGTGGGGACCGTCAATATTAGTATTAGTTTATGAGTCTAAATTATTAGCTCATTTAGACTTTCACCTGAAGCCACCACAGGGAATGGCTTCACCTCCTTGACCTTACAAAAGCCAACAATGGCAAAATCCATACGAGCAATTAGCCGGCGTAGCTCTGCCCCTTAGCTCCTGTGCCTATTTTTGCACCCATGTTGTCTTTCTATCACTCTTCTCTTCTTCTTTGTTTTCCCATGTTTCCCTCACTTTCTCTCCACTGTCATTACCCCTCTGTAGGCTGCTAAGTTAATTAGCTGTTCTCGTTTGTAGTTTTTTTTTTTTTTTTTTTTGCTGACACTGCAGGCCCTGCACCTCAGCTGTCTAACTGTTGAGGAAGTAGGCCTGGGTCTCGACCCTTTAGCAGCTGACTCTCCTTCCTCTTTTTTTTTTTCCCCGCACTGGGCAAGTGTGTGTGTGTGTGCGGGGTCAAAGGTGGTGACTTACATTGTATTTGTGATTATTACCTCTAAAGTGCTATTGCATAGAGCATCATTAAAAGTCAATGCATCTCCCTCCCCGATCCCTCCATCACACGGCTAAAACACACACACACACACACTCATTTTGCACGCACTCCGCACATCACCAGCCATTTAACAGCTAAAATACGACCCATGCGCAGATAAATGTCACAGGGCCATCTATCTAAGAGTGTTAAAAGTCGGCTAATGGAGATGACATATTAGCGGCCCAAATGACTGCCATAAAAACTCCCCACCATACCTCGCAGCGCTGCCTGGCCACTGTGACTGCAATAGGATACGGCACTGGCACTGCAAGTGTCTGTCCACAGAAGCAGGGAGAGGAATGGAGGCTGATGTCATATCTGGACGGAGTTCTTTTGATTCAATAAATTCTGTGGAATCAGATCTCTGAAGTTGCAATTGGAAGAATAACAGCTGTAAGATCGATGCGGCTTATTTACTCAGGCCCACCGCGTACTCAAGTTTTACACGCACATATATCTGTACAGCTCTTTTGATGTAATGATGATGACCCCTCACCTTTGACCCCTCGTGGAGTAATTATGAGTCAGGTCAGCGTTAACGTTACTGTTTCTGTGTGTCAATAGCAAAGCTCTTTACAATCAATACCCCACTCCAGTCCTACTTGAAGATCCTCCACAGGTACGTGATCACCTCCTCCTTCATTCCTCCTATCTCTATATTAATTACCCTTCTCCATCCATGCGTGTCTTTCTCTCTCTGAGTGAATGGAGCAGTTGTAATTGCTTCTCTCTGGAGCAGTTAGAAGCGGCACAAAGGAACCGTATAGAAACCACATTTGCATTCGAGATGAGCTGAGATGGAGAGGAGGGAGGGAGCACTGCCCTCCTGCCCTATACTGAACAGCTCCACTTACACTCTCTCTCTCTCTCTCTCTTTTTTCCCTCTCTCTCCTTCCCTCCCTCCTCTCGTCTATTGTCTCCCTCTCTCCGTCCCTCCCTCCACCTTATCTACTCCCACCACCACCCTCCTCCTCCTCCTGTTCGCAGCATGGTTCCCCTTGCATTGTCTTTCCAGAGAGTTCCAAGGTCGACGGGAGCTTGCTCATCAGAGCAGGGTATTGTACGCTTAGTGTTGGTATGGATGAGCTAATTTGTGGGAGGGAGTGTGTGCACGAGCAAGTGTGTGTGTGTTTGTGCGTGTCCCGAGGCCTGCGTATGTGAGGATATATGTGTAGAAATATGTGGTATGTGTGTGTGGCAGTATTTCTAATAGCTGGTAAAAAGGGGTGAAGGAGGGGAGGCGGTAATTAATAACTCAAAAGCTCAGAATTGCAATTTTTTATAACCACCAATATCTCACCACCTCTCAGACCTATGCCATCACTCTCACTCACTCCTGTGGAGCACACACACACACATGCATGCGCACACACACACCAACTCCTGAGGGCTCTTCTTTTCCAGCTTGATAAGCATTTCTCGTTTGTTTCAGTGTTTTGATCAATACAGTTAAAACGCCAAACCAAGCATAATTAGGTCTGAGATGGCTCCCACTGTGACTGAATAGGCTTCACCTAGGGAGGCGCTCACCATTATCATCATCGCTCTGTGCATGTGTATGTGTGTGTGCTCATACCGCACACAGCGTGATCTAATAGAATTGACAAAGTGCACATCAGGACATAGATTAAAGGAGAACTCTGAGCTATAGGTTAATTTTAGCAGGTGATGGAGTTTCCCATTCGCCGTGCGCTCACTCACCTCCATCTTCATTGCCATAATCATTTAGACAACCTTAACAATGCATCTCTGCCAGCAGGTTCATTTCAATATGTTATAGGCCACCTCAATCATTTTTTATTGGTTTATTTATTCAGAACGATACATAGATGGAGACTAGAGAGATCATAAATTGTCCACAATTACCATTATGCACAGTGAAGTGACTCTCCTTTGTGCCATAATCCAGGGTGAAAACCTTTGTGAAATCCATCTTAGACAGTGAAGAAGCATTTTAGGCACGCGGTGCACATTTACTCTCACATCCATTGTATTTACCCCTCATTAATA